TATACTCAGTTTGGATTTTGTATTAATTTGTAATCTTTTTCTTTCATTTTAATTTTTCATATTAATTTTTCAAATTCAATTATCATCTGTAAATGTTATTATTTATAATGACTTTGTCTGCCAGGAACTCTCCGTGCATAATATATGATTATATATACATAATTATATATATAGTGTAATTATAATATATACATTAATTTATAATGTGTGTGTGTGTATATATACACAAATTATATTCCTACATCTACCTACATTTTGGTTGGATATTTATATATTTTAGGACCTGAAAAAATATTAATAAGTAGACTCACATATCCTTAAGTGGAGCCACTGGTATTATGTTTATTATAAGACATGTGGTTTGATTTACACAATGGCTTTTAGTTTTATATCCTTCATTTAAAGAACACATACACAAAAACTATTTCCAAAATTACAAGGAAAACATTTTATTTATTTTTTATAAATAAATTAATACGGTCAAGCATTTCTTGTAACTTTCACAAAATTATTTACAATCCTACATAAAATCCAAGGACCTGTAGGCAGACACAAGTTCAGCCGTCTGAAATCTCTCAAAGTGGAGCGCATTTGTGATCTTTGTAATTTCTCTGATAGGCAAAACTTTTCCAACACTTAGTGCATGTGTGGGGCTTTTTACCAGTGTGAATGTGCATGTGTGCCTTCAAATTGTTTGGCTGTGTGAAACTCTTCAAACAAATGTCACAGGTAAATGGCTTTTCCCCGGTGTGCACGAGCCTGTGCCTTTTCAAATTGGCCGATAAATGAAACGCCTTCCCACACGTTTCACACTTGTGCGGTTTTTCACCAGTATGAGTGCGTATATGCATCTTCAAAGAGCTCGACAGCTTGAATCTTTTCCCACACAATATGCATTTGTGAGGTCTTTCTCCTGAATGCAGAAACATATGGGTTTTATACGTAGCCCTCAGAGAAAAGTCCTTACCACAGATCTCGCACTTGAAAGGTTTCTCTCCCGTGTGAAGCAGCTCGTGCATCCGGAGGGAATGTACGCTGCTGTACCTTCGGTCACATAACGTGCACGTATAAGGTTTGCTGTTGTCCGAATGCAGTTGCAAGTGAGCTTTTAATGCGTAGGCAGAGCTCAGGAACTTCCCACACACATCGCAGCGCTGAGTGTTACTTTTATCACTTGCATTTCCAATCTGATTGTGTGTAAGAATGTGGTTCCTCAGGACGTAATTATACTGGAACGTTTTCCCGCACATTTCACACATAAACCGCTTTTCTCCATGAACTCGCATGTGGCCTTTTAGAGTGCTTCTCTGGTTGAATCTTCTGCCGCACACCTCGCAGACGTACGGCTTATCGCCGGTGTGAATGAGGATGTGGCGTTTTAGAGTCCCGGAAAGCGCGAAGCTTTTCCCACAGATGTCACATGTATGCGGCCTCTCGCCCGTGTGCACACGGAGGTGGTGTTTCAAAAGTTTATGGTATTTGAAGCTCTTATTGCAGTGGCTGCATTTTATCGGCCTGTCGTTTGAATGAATTCTCTTGTGGTAGTTCAACGTGCCAATCAAGGGGAAACACTTTCCACAGATGTCGCATCTGTATGGTTTTTCGCCCGTGTGCACCCTCTGGTGCATGTATAAACTTCTTTTGATTGTGAATCCTTGTCCGCATATTTCACAGGTAAATGGTTTGACTTCCGCATGGACCAGTTTGTGCGCTGCGAGATCTCTGAAGCTCTTTCCGCAAGTAGCGCAGGGAAATTTCTTCTTGTCAAGCTTCTGCGTGTGTTTGCGAAGGTGGGTCTCTAGCGCTCTCTGCAGTGTGAATTTCTTTCCACACTTTTCACAACTGTGCGGCCTCACGATTGAATGCACACGTTTGTGCTGCACGAGAGAAAACATCTTTGGAAAGGCCTTTCCACACTGCTCACATTCAAAAGACTCTTTTGATTGTGCAACTTCAGGTTGATTGGTTGACGTCTGTAACACTCCTTCCTGATCTTCAGACCAGCCCCTGTCATCAGCTACGGGTGAAATAAAAACAACATCAGGGTCAATCAACATCAATCATAGTCGTTTCATATATTCACAGTTTAGCAAAATTCATGCTGCTGAATGAGAGTAAATAATTAGCCTGAGATGGTTTATTTTTCAATAACTGACACTGATAAAGTAGTACACAATTTAAGCAAAAATGTGCATTAAGTCAATCAATAAGGTCAATTTTGATTTCAGGTTGGCTTTCAGAAATGAATACAGCTCTTTCTAATATATACTAAAAGTTGTACAATACATTTTTATCTAACAAAATTTGAATTCTTTTTTTATTTAAAAGAGCTGTTAAAATTATTACAAATCTATTTTAAAATGTGATATATATCAGCAATATTTGAATATTATTTCTATGCATTAATTCATATACATTTATTAATATATTATTAATAGCCATTATTTTTATATTTTCAGTTTTCATTTGAATTTTTTAGTAATTTTACTATGTGCTTTTGTTATTAATAATAGTTTTTGTTTTTTAGATTTGTATTTAGTTTGAATTTATTATATAGTTTTTGTAATTTTAGTGCTTCAACTTCAACTTATTTTATTTCTGTTAGTTACCATTCATTTTTGTATTGTCTATTGTAATATACCTGCACATACAATTGTCAATTTATATATTGTTATTCCTTATTTACTTGTGCTATTTTTTTATTCTTCTTTTATTATCTGTGTTTTTGTTCTGTCACTGTCATTCTGTTGCACTGCGGAAGCTTCTGTCATGAAAACAAATTCCTCATATGTGAAAACATACCTGGCAATAAAGCTCATTCTGATTCTTGTTAAAGTTTTTTTAAACTATTCATCTAATATATATATTTTATTTGAGCTTTATTTCAGTTATCAAAAAATGATTTTTAATAGCTTTAGTTAACAATAACAACACTGACATATATAGTAATGCATGTCTTGATAATATATAACTAACACCAGTCATAATGATTTAGATGTTCTACATTTTGAGACAGTGATTGATTGTAAAAGGTAAAGAGGGTGGGAAATTTCAAACTAAAAGTTGAGACTCTCACCGTCACTGATGAATATTGTCTGGATGGTTTCGTCTGCTCTGTCCTCCACCATAAAACATCTGCTTGCATTATTTTCCTGTGCAGGCTATAATTTCCATCACATGTAAGGGTTTCAACCAACATTTATCACACTGTAAGTTATATCTTTAAAAGAAATTCTTCTGTAAAACTGCATTGTATTATAACTCACTTCAGGTTGCTGGTGAGACCTTGTTGCAGGATCCTTCAGAGGACTCACAGAGAGAGTTATAGCATCTGCTGTAAGAGGAACACAAAACAAACATCACCACAAATCCTAAAATACTTCAGGCTTGTCACTCATGTGGAGAATCTGTCAAGTACCCTGAAACTCTTGGTTATGGATATGGGTTGCTCCACTGAGATCACGACCCATCTGAGATGAAGTCTTCCTCAGCTCGTCTCGACCATTCAAACATATCTGAGCTGGAACTGGTGCAACAGATGAACAGTATCTGAAGAGACTGCAAATCTTCTGCACCACTTCTTTGGCAAACCTGTCCATTATGGAATTAAGCTGCATTGACAAAAGAAATGCTCTAATTAAGAACAAAAAAATAATACTATAAGAATAATACTAGAACTTAATTATTCCAGGCTGTAAACAAAAGGATGGTTCTTTCACTATTTCAATAACTAACATGCTACAACCAACCACGTTAAAATCACTTAATAACAGACTTTCTTACCATCTGAATCTGAGTATCGTTTGGTTTGAGGGAGAGACTGGATTCATCGGAGCTGCATGTAAAAGTCTTTCGTATCTCATGTTTAGCAGAGTCCGTCAGTAAAGACATGACCAGAGTGGTTTGACTCTGAAAAAGCTCAAACCGGGCCATAGTGACCAGAGTTAAGAGAAATGCTGCAAAATCAACTCAACCTGTGTTTGACAGTTTGTACGGCCAGAGTGAGAAGAAAATAAACAAAACGTTGAACTCCCAATAAAGTTGCACTAAACAGTAAGTACTTCCTCTTTGTTTTATTTTAAAATAAAAGTATCCGAATGCTCGGCATTCGCCATTGAAATTGCTTATGACTAACAAACAAAACTGAAGGAGTTTAAAATTCAGTGCTAAATTGTTGAGGGCGTTAGACTGTTTTGGATCAATTTGATCATAAATGGTTTTGCTAAGACCCATTATAGACCTCAGTGAAGGAAACAAACGTACTTCCGAAACAGATTTTCAAAATAAAAGTCGTTGAACGCTCTCAAAGGAAAAAGACTCCAGCCTAACTAATTAGAAAACGAATAATAAAATTCCTAATTACGTTTTAAGTAGCATGCTTAAGGTCAGTGGTTTAACAACAAGTGTTGTGAGTTTATTTATATATTTCATTATTTTATTTATTTATATGTACTTTCTTCTGCACTGGAAGCTCCTGTCGTCAAGTCAAATTCCTTGTGTGTAAACATACTTGGTAACAAAGCTCTTCTGATTCTGATTTAAGAGAATCCAGATATCATTCTTAATAACAGTCGTGAATGCTTTTGATAATAATATATATTTTATATCCGATATTTTACATCAGATACATTCACTAATGAATCATTCAGATCATTTTGTAAACAAGTTTGAATATTCATTGAAAAGCACAAGTCGAAAAATTGATTCGCAAGCATACAACCAGCTGATCAAATAATTCATATCAGAGCACAACTAGAAACATTTAAATTCACTTTAAATTCACTAAAGTGTCCATATTTTACCATTTTCAATTACTTTCTCAGGCATGGAAAACACAATTAACACACTATAAATTCCCCCATATTTCCAAGTTTTCCATAACCATGCCAACATATTAACCATTTTTACTACATGAATGTATCATGATAATATAAATATTTTTTTTATATAGGTTCACATTATGCAACATTAAAAATAACAACAGCTTGTTCAGCCTAATGTTTTATTTAAATGCCTTCACAATGTTACCCAAACATTTGTCTAGGAAATATTACAATATGAAAAATCCTGCAGTTGTTACAAGTTACTACGACGACATCTAATTCATACAGGTTTGCATTTGTGATCATTGTAATGTCTAAGATATACATATTTCTTCCCACACTTCTGGCACATGTAGGGTTTCACTCCAGTATGGATTTGCATACGTGTTTTGAGATGGTCGAGTTCTGGCAACCCTTCCTCACACACCTTACAGCTGAACGGCTTCTCCCCAGCATGGACACGCTTGTGTCGCTTTAAATTTCCATACAAGCGAAAACCCTTTCCACACGTCTCACATTTGTGAGTTTTTTCATCAGTATGAGTCTTCATATGCATTTTCAGAGAGCCAGACCACTTGAACGCTTTCCCGCATGCTATGCATTTATAAGGTCTATCTCCTGAATGGCACAACATATGTGTTTTAAAGGACTTTCTGAAAGCGAAGGCCTTACCGCAGATCTCACACTTGAACGGGGTCTCACCTGTGTGAAGCTTCTCGTGTATGCGAAGATTATATATGGTGCTGTAGCTCTTCTCGCATAATTTGCATGTAAAAGGTTTGCTGCTGTCTGAATGCAGCTGCAGTTGAGTTTTGGAGTTCAAAAATTGGTCTTCTTTTGAATTTCCAGTATGACTGTGTGATAAAATATGGTTCTGTAGCAAAAAACCATGCTGGAATGTTTTCCCACACATTTCACACTTAAATTGTGGCTCTTGGTGCACCCGCATATGGACTTTTAAATTGCTTCTCTGACGAAATCTTTTACCGCACACTTCACAGATGTACGGCTTTTCGCCGGTGTGAATGAGAATGTGGCGTGTCATTGCTTCATGATGCGCAAATGTTTTACCACAGATTTTACACGTATATCGTCTCTCACCGGTGTGCACAGGAAGATGGCGTCTCAAATGACTCTTGCACTTGAAGCTCTTATTGCAGTGGCTGCATTTTATTGGGTTGTCATCTGAATGAAACTTCTTGTGGCAGTTTAGGGTGCCTATTAGAGAGAAACTTTTCCCACAGGTGTCACATGTGTATGGTTTTTCGCCCGTGTGCACCCTTTGGTGCATATATAAGCTGCCTTTGACTGTGAAACCCTGTCCGCATATATCACAGGTAAATGGCCTGACTTCTGCATGGACCCGTTCGTGCGCTGCGAGGTCTTTGAAGCTCTTTCCGCAAGTAGCGCAGGGAAGTTTCTTCTTCTCAAACTTCTGCGTATGTTTGTGGAGATGAGTCTCTAGCGCTCTTACTTGTGAGAACTTTTCCCCACACTTTTCACAACAGTGCTGCTTTATGACCGAATGCACACGTTTGTGTCGAAGAAGAGAAAACATCTTTGGAAAGGCCTTTCCACACTGCTCACATTCAAAAGACTCATCTTCTTGTGGCTTTTCAGGTCGCTCGGTTGACGATTGCAACACGCCTTCCTGATCTTCATCAGCTTTGTCATCAGCTGGTGAAAAAACAACACAATAATACAAATTAGTGTTGAACATATTAGCTATTAAAGATTCCTCATGACAGAAGTGCTTCAAAGATCACATAAAATGCCTTTTGTTACTATATATTTCCTATTGAAACTAGAATATATCAAAGGGCTTTTTTCCTATTTTTTGGTTTTAAATATCAAATAGCCTTAAGTATATTTGAGTGGTTCCAACCTTTTTGACTTTTATTCACAGGCCAAAATGTAAGAAAATTTGGTGCAGATATTACTTATTTGGCCAAAAATGTAAGAATGAATGAAATTCTGATGTATTGTAATGTAAATCAATGTCATACTTTTTTTTTTTCTTTTTTTTTAAAAGTAAATTTAAAATTTGAAGACTGTTTTAAGAATTCTAAATGCATGAATTAGGTGAACTTGTAGGGA